CAGACAGACAGAGAGAGACATAGAGACAGAAAGCGAGAAATCACCCCCCAGGGGGGATGGTCACGCCGCAATCCCTTCTCCTTCATTCTCCTCTCGGGATCTTGGGCACGCACGCACACGCGCCTGGCGTGAGTTTTAAGCCACCGGGTCTGGGACGTGAACCGCAGTCGACTACGTGGGAGTCCAGTGACATAGCCATTACGCTAACTGCTGGTTCCCTCTTCCTAATTCTTGAAGTTCAATCTGAGCATTCAGGAGCGTGCAGAAGGAGATGATCTGGAATCTCTTTGCCATTCCATTTTTATCCCTTTGTGCAGCAGATTCAGTGGATATTGAGGAATATGTTAAACCTAATAGTATTTGGATGTTTGGTTATGGTTCCCTTAGATCCGTCTAGAAACATAGTGAGTGGAGATTGAGGAGCAGAGTGAAGAGGTAAAAGAAAAAGAAAAGGAAACAGAGACTTAGAGGAAAAAAAGAGAGAGAGAGAAAGGGAAGGAAATAAAAGAAAAAATAACCCCAATTTTATTTAACTTTATTTATTATTATTATCATTATTATTTTTCAGTTTGATCAGAGAGAGACAGAGAGAGAGAGAGGAAGTGAGAAAGCAAGCCACCAGGTCTGAGACTTGAACCATGGTTGGCCATGTGGGAGTCCAGTGCCTTTAACCATCATGCCACTTGCCGGCCCCCGAATTTTTTTTTTGTTAAGAAAGCAAAAAATAAAAAAAAAATAACTAGTTCTCAGGAGCCATGGAGGAGTCTTCTTCTGAAGGCCTGCCCTTTACCGCTCTTGGATGGGTGGGAGAAAGAGGATTATTAGCGAGATAAAGGAGGGGCAGAAAGCCCAGAGAGTACTTTACCTTGAAAAATTTCAAAAAGAAAAAATTACCAAGAAAATGAGAAGACAGAGACAGAGGCAGAGAGAGACAGAGACAGAGACAGAGTGAAGGCTAGAGGGGCTTCCCTACCCCCAAGAGACAGAGTGAAGGCTAGAGGGGCTCCCTACCACTCAAGTTTGTGGGCTGGAGGCTGAATTAAGAGTAGAAAAATCTTCATTTCTCTTTTTTTCCCTGAAATCACTAGTTCTCAGGAGCCATGGAGGAGTCTTCTTCTGAAGGCCTGCCCCCGATATCAAACATTTTAACTAGAGCCATCTAGTTACATCACATTACTGATTACATCTCAAAGATGCATCCAGGGTCAGTTTCTGGTGACTTGTCATTAGATACTTCTAGTCCAAAATATTTATCCCCAAATATCTTAATCACTAGTATGGCTGCAGTGTATTACCTCCCAATTACCAAGCACTAGAAGAGGAAAGAGAAAAAAAAAAACCAACAAAAAACAACAACCAGATATTCAAGCAGCAGGCAACAATCGTGGCCCTTTCACACAGCAGTATCTGAGTGATTACTGAGAAGTCCAGGAACAATTCTAAAAATGAGAAAATTCATGCATTTTAGTAACTATGCCATAATTTTCACACTTGAAATTTCCTTCGACATTGCACTCTCTTTCTAAAGGCATCCTTATTTTTCTTGCTGTTACAGCAAGTCAGGATTTGAACTGGCGGCCTTCTTTTTCTTCTTACTATGTTTCTTAAGCTTCTTTTACTTTACTTTTTTTTTTCTGTTGCTTTTTATCGTTCTTCACTGCTTTTCTTCTTCTTCTTTTTTTTTTTTTTTTGCTTGTACCTCCTCAATATAATCTGATTCCGACAAAGACTCAGAGGACAAAGGTTTATCTTCAGGATACATCTTTTTTTTTTTTTTTTCCTCAGTCCTTTACATCCTTATCTTTCTCAGTTGCATCATTTGATTTCTTTCTCTTTTTAAAACTATCCATATTGTCTGACTCAGTTTCTGATATGGAGCTTTCAGAAGATTTATGCGAACAGTTTCTTTTTCTTTTTTTTTTCCTTTTTTTCTTTCTGTTTTCCTATCCTCATCCTCAGAACCTGAAGAACTGCTGGAAGAATCAGAGCTCCATGAAGAAGAGGATGATTACTTACCAGATTGCTTTTTTTCTTTTTCTTCTTTTTTTTTTTTGGATGAGCTCTCACCTCTGCTTAACAATTTCCCTGTTTTCCTAGTTCTTTGTTCTTCCAATTCTCATTCATTTTTTTCTTCAAATTCAGCCAAAGCTTTGGAACCTTTCTTTTTTCTTTTCTAGCTACTCTTTCACTTCTCCCCAGGTAGACCTTGGTTGGTTCAGATCATCCTGCATCGTTGGCACTGAAGACTTGATGGGGCCTCGTGATCTGGCCATTGCTATGAGGTTCATAGAGGCCACTCGGTTGGTCTGCTTCCCAGTGGTGTGCAACTGAGTGCACAGTCAGAGACTGAGGATGGCCAGGCCGGAGAAGTGGCCAGAAGTGGCTTGGTGCAGGTCCTCTTGCCACCTCCCCACTGGCCCAGAGTCTGTAGCAAATTTTTAAAATGTTTACAAAGAATAATGATTTATAATTTAAAAGGAGTCAAATTTTGACAAGGCAAACATTTAAATAGTTACATTATTTAATGGGACCTGTCAGAAATATGAGCTTAAAAGAGCAAGTAGCTGTATGTGTCACCAACACCCAATGTCATATTACCATAATACAGTATAACACGATATTGGTAATGATGAGACTAAGTTACCAAGAAAAAAATTACTTCAGAAAGTTTTTATGTTTTAGAAATAATCATCATATCCTAAAAATGACACGAGGGTTAAGAAATAACTGCAAAGTGTTTTGAGCATCTCAGGGAAAAAATGCTAAAACTGAATGGTCAGCCAAGCACACAAAAGTAATATTGCATTTCATTTGTATTCTTAAACTAAGAGGCTTCGATTTTTTACCGGTAAAGCTTTGATCATGTTAAAACCCTGATTGTCTCTGTGCACTCCACGAGCCCAGTCTTCACGTGAGATAATTGTGTTAGGGGTGTGATGCATAGACCTGAGATAGTCACAGCTGCTTTTCAGCGTTGGCACAACTGTGGTGACAAAGCACTCCACTGATGCTCCCCAGATAACAAACGACAGTGAAGATGAACCCTAGAAAGATCCAGATAAAGGAAGGTTATTGAAAGCAACTGTTATGGGATAAACTGTGCCCACCCAAAACTCATATGTTTAAGTCCTAACCTCAAATACATTCAAATGTGACCATATTTGGAGACAGGTCCCTTAAGGAGGTATTTAAGATAAAACAAGGTCCTTTGGATAGGCCCTAATTTAGTGTCATGGGTGTCCTTGTAAGAAGAGATTAGGACATGGACTGTGGGGTGATCATGTGAGGACGCACGAAGTCCATCTGCAAACCAAAAATGGGGCCCCAGAAGTAAACAACGGTGCCAACATCTTGATCTTGGACTTGTGGCCCTAGAACTATGAGAAAATACGTTTTTGTTGTTTAAGCCAAGTCTGTTGAGGCAGTGATAGCACTGTATTAGTAACCAACGAAAGAACAAAGAAAAAGGGTGATACTAGGTAGAATGAAATAAAAGTTAGAATAGTACAGGGACCAGCAGATAGTATAATGGTTACGTTGCTGGACTCCCACATGGCTGACTGTGGTTTGTATTCTGGCGGCTTGAAATTCACACCAGGCGCATGTGCATGTGAACCCCAAATCCCAAGACCTGGCAGCTTGATATTCACACCAGGCCATGTGCATGTGAGCCCAAAATCCCAAGAGGTGAATGGAGGAGAAAGGATTGTGGCGTGGCCATTTCCGCCCTCCCCCCCACCCCGCCCCCCAGGAGGTGATTTCTGACTTTCTGTCTCTCTGTCTCTCCAGCAAATGTGTGTGCCCTATAGCAAAAAAACTCTCTCTCTAAAAAAAAGAAAGAACAAAAGAAAGAAAGGAAGAGAAAGAAAGAAATAGAATGGCACATTCAATGTAAACATCTGCTTGAGAATAAATCATATCGGAAACACATTCTTTTTCAGGGATAACTATACTCCAATAGAACTGGTTTTGGGATACATTTGGAAATAAGCAAGGATCAAGAACATGGACTTGATTAATAACAGTGTATTGTATTCAGGATTTTGGCTAAGTGAGTAGATTATAGTTGCTCTTGCTATGTGGGGGATATGGGTACCTATGGAGATGATGGATATGTGAATTTGTCCCACTCTAATAACCACTTCACTACATATACATATATAACATCATGTTGTGCACCTTAAATACACACAATAGATTTGGTTAAAAGTATTTGTAAAAAGGACTTATTAAATAAATACCTTTACATCCAACTTGTACCTATGCTTCTCTCATTTACTGAAGGGCAACTATTTATTTGCTTTGATGATATGAAAAAATAACTTTCAAAAACATTAAAAAAAAAAGATTTATTCATTCCATAAGTGAGGCAGAGAACACCCTCAACAGGATCTTGATTCCATGATCTACCCCTAGTCTTCATCCAGCCCCAGGCCATGGGCAAGTTAGTGCCCGCTGTCCTCAGGGAGGAACCTGGAATTAAAGTGGGAATCTTCCCATGTGGGATTGCCTTGTAGAGAGTTGCATTTTACTGCTGATCACTATCTATTGATAGCTCCCAAATAAAATAACTTTGATGAACAGATATGTTGAAAAAAGTATTTGCTTAGCAAACACTGCATTTCATGAAGATAGGTTTTTCACAGGAATTTATGCAGAGAATGTATTTTATTCTTACACAATACTATTGAGACATCAAAAACTATTGGGTTCTGACAACCCAATAAATACTTGGGTTGTGTGCCCAGGATTCTGGGAAGAGAATGGAGGAGAAGGGATTGTGGAGTGGCCATTTCCCTGGGGGATGATTTCTTACTTTCCTTCTCACTGAGTCTGTCTTTCTCTCTCTGGCTAGTGCATGTGCCCTAAGGCAAAAACCTCTTAAACAAAACAAAACATAATATGAACAATCCCTTGTTTTTACTAGTGAATTTATTATTCAAAGAGTTATTTCACTAATGAATTTATTATTCAAATTTATTGTTACCTACTTTTAAAAGGTTGAAGCAAGTAATGTGATTAATCTATATATTCATAGAAAGCACTAAAAAGTATTTCAACTTAAAAATTGCCTCTATTGGGGCTGGCAGGTGGCATGGTAGTTAAGGTGCTGGACTCCACATGACTGACTGCAGTTCAAGTCCTGGACCTGGTAGCTTACTTCCCCCCTCCCCTCTCTCTCTCTGGTGAGTGTATATGCCCCACAGCAAATTAAAAAAATAATAATAAATAAATAAAATTAAATAATTCTTTAAAAAAAGAATCTTTAAAAATTGTCTCAATTACATACTATACTTTTCCCTTAATTTTAAAGGAATATTTATAAAAATTAAAGATTGAACTATATAAAAATTGCTAATATTCCACTGTTTTTGGTCTTCAAAAGGGTAACTTTACATAATTCATCTTAATATTTTTGTGGTGAAAAGTATTTATCTGAAATATAAAATTTCAATTTTTCCTGTGTTACACTGGGCAAATATACCCACATCTGTGTAATTTTTAAAATATGCAGAGCACAAATATATATTTATAAAATTATAACCATCTTTGCTTTCAATCATCCTTCTAATAATATATTCTTATATGAAAACTTACATAAATGTTGATGTTTAAAATAATGCTCACTTAATGTTTATTAATGGTTGCTTTTTAAATAGCAAAACTTCTATAATCAATACTTTTTATAATGAAAAAAAATCTTACTTGAAGTAAAACTTTGCTAGCGATATTAATTTCCATGACATAACTATCTGCATCATCGAAATAACCTTCAGCTTTAACTTCCAATAAAGTCGGGTTTCCCACGGCCACGTTCAGTAGTGGTACCTCAGATAAATGCATACCTATGGAAACAAGGTCAACATTTAATAATATACAGTGGAAGCTATAAACTCAGTTTAATAATGATTGGTTAATCAGAATTTTAGAACATCTCCTGATCTATGATGGAGGCTGCATAATGGTTGTAAATATATTGGATTGTCAGATAAGTCATGATGTATTTTTTTCTGTTTTTCTATGCAAAAATGGGTCATGACTTTTCCAGAACCCTATAGTTAGAAATTTACAGTAATCTTTAAGAGTTCTTAGAAAAATGTAACTTCATACACATTTTGCCCTATTTTGTCAAAGAAATATTGCTCTCCCCACCTCTTATTTCTCTGCTAGGTTCTCAAAAACTTATCAAGGTCACTTGGATAATACTGGCTACTCTGAGTGGATTAACTTGGTAGAAAAACCAAGAGTACGTGCTTGATATAAAACCAAGAGTCGCCAGTCACTTGTTGCCAAGAGAAAATTCTGAGGCATTTCAAACAAAATGTGTCATCAGGCCAATTTCTGCCTGAAGGCCTCCTGTTTGCAATCTCGCCATTCTGAGAACTTTAATGGAAAAAGATCTGAAATATCATGTAGTCTGTCACTCTTACGAATCAATCACCCGAAGTTGGGAAGTAATAAATGATGTGCCCACAGTCTCAGCTGCAGCTGTTTGTCTTACACCAGAGTGATCTGGTCAGGGCTTCTTACCCTTTACTGGGATTTTGTTACGGTGCCTGCTGAGCAGGTCCGGCATGGGGCCTCAGGTTCTGCGCTCTTCCCTTCCCTTTCTCTTTGTGTTTCCATTTCCTTTCTCTTTTATTCACTTC